GCTTAGACACTTACTGCCCATTCCGACTCACCTTGCACCTCGACGGGCCACATAAATAATATGAATAAATCTTTTATTCCCACATTAGTTATTTAACGTGAGAAAAGCCGGTTTACGGGCATTATCACACTGATATATCTTGAAAAATCTACGAGATTTTACGGCTCCTGAGTGGTACACAAAGGAGGTCATTAAATTCACTTTTCAGTGTATGCAGTCTTAGAGTTTATGTCGTTTTCCGTCATCATTTTCACCACGGGTGGCAACAAGGTCGCAAAATATTTCAGGTAGCCGTTACAAGCAGTCAACATTTTCAACCGGTCCTCGTAATATCGCGTTACGCTAGATAAATGTACGACTTACCATAAATTCTTATGCTTATAGCTTCAGAGACCAAAAGAACCCGCACTGACGAGTTCGGGAATCTGTAATTCCCCACTTTATTATGTTATCCGGGCGAATATCTATTCAGGTGTCGCCGTTCAAAGCAATGGCATATTTTTAATCAGGATATTCATATGAAACCTAGGAATACACATATAGTAGGTATGACACCATGTACACAAGTTAAAATTTACATGCAATTAACTTTCTTGTGCCTCAGTTCCCCTCTCTGTTTTCTCTGTTCTTATCGTAAACAGAATCTTGGAAGCCTAAAATTAGATCAGAATTACAGTATTTCATCAGTAGTATTTTCAAATGCCACCGCATCCGTCTTCAAGCAACTCCACCGCTGTAGTGCAGCTTCCGATGAATGTCCTTATGGTATCACACGAAGATACCACCATTAAGTCTCTCGACATTTATTCACCCAGTGCTTCACTGACTAGCGCCATTTCGTCCAGAGCAGTTGTAAACAATATAAAGGGATGCAAAGAAGTACTTACGGTCTTATCTGTAGGTGCAGACGTTTTGACTCGACCTCAAAATTCAGAGGAATTCGACCAATATTCACCGAGCTATTGGGCGCGATGTAGAGCATTATGGAGGCTGCGGCGGACATACGTCCCATTTAGCACGAACAAAAATAGATCCTATAACCAGGAAGGTGGTACATTGTTATTGGTGTTATGTACTGTTGACCACACTGTATATCTTGACATTTCAATTAGCCTGAAGATTCATATCCTTTGAAAAATACATTGGACCAACCGTGGTACTTCCCTCAATGTACATGACCCTTCAAATCACAGCACCTGAGTGACTTACTCAGCATCACTTTTTTTGAGAAGGGACCTTATGAGTTGCTTCCTCTTCTTTCTGAATGATGCTGCTACACATTCATTAGACATGACTTTTATTTCTGCCAGACAACCAAAATCCATGACAAAAATTCTGTATTTGACTTTGGGCGTACCACTTGTATGTGATGTAAAATTTTCTTTCCTTCACACTGGGGATTTCCACTACCTGGGATGAAAAGGTGGCAAAAAATTCCCAAAAAATGTATTACCGAAGATTTCCCACCACTAAACCGTATCTGTAAAAACGATATGCACCTGTAAATTCAGGAATAAATAACTATTATTAATATGGATTTATGCCATCAGAATTAGATATTGTGGTGCAAAGAAACAAACGCTTGAGGAACTGCAGATCAGTGGGAATGGGTTCTTACACCGTTCACGTCAGGGCATGTAGCATTATCGAGCAGGTACGTTCGCTGTTAGATGAAGCACTAGAGAAATCTGTTGCTTAGCATTGTTGTGAATATGTTCGCCTTAGAGTCAAAGAGCGAGTTGATCCACTGGATTTTACCGTCTGTCAAGATTTTTGATGCCATTATAACCGTTCAGAAGTTTGAGTAATTCCTGGATTGATAAATGTTCATGTGGTAAAAGGGTCAAATGAGTGAATTGGGTATGTAACTCTTACCTAAAGGATAATAATTTTTGCGGAGGCACAGTTTAATTCCTACTAAAACCAGTGGAATGTTGAGAATTGGCAGCATATGTTCCTCATTTGTGTCCTATAGTCTTCATCGGAAGCTATCATGGTGATGTGGGTCCTTGAAGTTTTAAGTAAAATCCTTCGTTCTTTTAGAGTCCGAATTTCCGGATAACTTGGCAAGTTTCACCGTGGTCCATTTTCCTCATAACCTAACGATAACTTGATGTTGCAACCATCTGAAATTTTGGTACAAAAACGGCAAAGACGGATGCAGTCTCTGTACCTTTCAGGTTGGAAATTGTTCATATATTAGGTCTTGTTATGTCTGTAGTTTCAGCAGCAGCATTGGCGGTACTTATCATGGCACTGTTTCTTAATGTAGATTTGAGCTGCCTCATAAACTTGGTCAAAGTATTTGATTCACGTGCTGCCCCAGGTAAACTGTTCCAAATCTCAGCATATTCTACCATAAAGAAGTTTTACTTAGTGACCGTTTTGACATGCTAAATTGCTACCGTTGCAGTTGTGCCTCTTAATCCATATGCAGTTTCGTTTATGAACCACGCGTCTGTGCATGTACTACAAGTTAGTCTGTTAAGGAGCTTATAAAACAGTATCAGGTTCAGTCTGAGCCTTCTTTACCATAGTGACTCAAGTCCTAGTATGATGCACCTGATGGCATATTTTACGTCCTTGTTCGTGTTGAGTATTCTCATCGTAAAGCTTCTTTGCACTCTTGACTTTCAGTCTATCCGTAACCCGTGAACTGCCGTAGATAAGTGAACAACATTCGAGCAGTGGTCGGACACATGTTTTATACAGGATAACTCTAGATTCGGCACTATTGAAGTTCCGTAGTAATAAACCTACCGGCTTGCGTGACCTCGATACCTGTGTCGATAAGTGCTCAGAGAAGGTTAGGTTGTGGAAATATCGTAACCCTAAGTCTTGTATAGACTTCACTTGTGGGAGTGGATGGCCGGCTATCATTAAGTTTGGTTCGAATGCATAGCCACCTATGCATATCCAGCCACATTTTTCTGCATTAAATTCAAGTCGCCAGGTGTTGCACTATATGCTAACATATCTTAGTTCCTCTTGCACAGAGCTAATAGTCGAGGCTAAGTCACCGCTAAGGTGGTGGTGGGGAGTCTAGTAGGCTATCATGTCCGTGAGTACTTGGAAAAGAGGGGAGCGCTAAGTGATGCCCAACATGGTTTCAGAAAGGGTGGGTCCTGCGTCTAAAACCCTCTGGCGGCATGTTGAGACCTCTAAATTCCCGTTCATTCTATTTTCCCAGATTTTGATAAGGTCCTTGACGTAGCCACACATACCATTCTCATTCGTGAAATATGGAGGTTGGTCATCAACGACCAAGTGCTCTGCTAACTACAAGGCTACTTAGATGGTGGAGAATTCTGCATAGAATCCGACAGGATTTGCTTGAATTGGAGGGCATCATCATCTGGTGTGTCGCAAGAAGCGATTGCAGGTCCGCTGCAATTCGTTCCATTTTGTGGACGGCCTGCGATTGAACCTGGGACCAATACTCACCGATGGGCTAGAGACTTGCTCCATTTATTTGGGAGGTACCTCCAGAGCCTATGCAGTACCGCATTTCATGCGCAGACGACTAGGTGCCCTCACTCCTGAACTCTTCCTGAAGCTCTACGAAACCTACATACGACCTCACTTACAGGCCCACAACATCTTTGCACCAGTATACCCGAAAAGAGATGCATCCCTTCGGGAGAAGGTCCAGAGGCAAGGTGTCTTGTGAATGAGGCAAAAACCTCATGAAGACAGACTGAAAGACCTAAAACCTTACTCGCTTAGCTACCATAGACTACGTGGTGACGTCATAACGACTTAAAAAAGTACTAAGTAATCCAAGTCATCTGAGCAGTGGAACCTTACCGAACGGCCACTGTGGTGATCCTCTTGGCAACCCAAAGAGAATTGCCCTTCAAAGGCCGGAAACCCATGTGCATTAGCACTACTATCTGGGAGTTTGTGGCCACTGGAACGCATTGCCTGTAGAGATCGCTACTGCTCCACCTGTTGACAGCTTCAAGAAGAGGTTGGACAGTTCCACAGTGATGCATGGTCTGCGCTCATACAGCTGGGATATGGACTAGGTTGATGCAGCCCACCAGCCCTGAACAACTTAGCACAGCCAACCCACCGCCGAATCTTTGGCAGCGCCACGACCATCCCGAACCTGACTCAACCCTGCAATTCCCCGAATACATCTCCAGCTGCCATCTCCTACCTATGGCATTACTGTCTTTAGTCCCATAGGCCGCCCCATGATCTTACTTGCTCTCCCTTCTGACTCCGTGGTCTCACACTGTTTACTAAAAGTCCTGCCTACCGCTCTTTTCCCATCGATCCACCTAAGTTTCTTGTTCCGTTTCGCTTTCTTTCAACTAATCGTCATTTTTCTTTGTTCCCTTTCCCCTTGATTCATCTGAGCATCTGTTCTACCTTACTTTTACATCTAGTCCAACCAACTATTTGGTGGCATGACATTTGAGGAGCCCATCTGCCTCACAGTCCATGAAGAAACCACACAATCCTTGCAGTTAATCAACACCCAACCTCCCGCCAGGCTAACCAGAGCTACAGTAGGCGAACGGGTAAACCGACTGCATTGGAATCCACTAAAGACTTGGAGCCGTTCTGCAAGACCTAGAAGCGAGCGTGACGGAATGAACTGGGTTACACTAGCTCGTAAAAAGGTATTAGGTTTTGGACTGCAGGCTATTCAATCTCCTGTATATATGCTCAAAAATTTTAAAATATGGTGATTTCCTTTGTTTCCTACTTCCGTATTTTGATTGTTTTGCCTGTTTCCAGGCTACCTCTATCTCCCTACTGACCAGTATGAACAACAGTATTTAAAGATCCCATCTGCCTTAGTCTTCGAACAGGATTTGAAAGAGCTATCGAAGGTGAGCAGATTGGTCAGCTAGGTCGGAATCCACTATTGACGTAAAACAATTCTATAAGATCCAGTAGTGATCATAAGGAAATCAGCTAGAGGAAACGAGCGCAAAAGATAAGTTTTAGGTATTGGATATATTGAAGAAGCCTATGACCGGGTCTACGAAATAACCAATAGGACATCAAGGCCACAATGTCGAGGATGCTTACCATCCATTGGGAGTGGTGTGGGCAGGTTTGTAGCGATGAGTTATTCTCTCCCAGTTAACCTTAATATACATTAGAAATGTCTTATAACATAATTTATTGTGGTGTTCAGTGCTATATTAAACATGCCTTATGCGCGCGATGTGCAGGTCGAGTGGCAGCTGCTACTGGGCCTCATCCCGGTCTGTACATCTGCTCAAGGCTCTGAAATTGAATTTACTTGAAACAAAATTAATCCATCAGGGAGCTTCGCAATATTGTCTCTCATGTTTTCCATTATCAGCCTCTCGTTTTTAACTGCAGTTGAAAACATACATGTATGTGTAAGCATCAGCTCGCATTTCGGATGCTGTTTTTAAGTCACCCAACCATTTTTTCTTTTGCTCGGGGTTTTATTACTTGCATTAATTGGCTTTGCGTGTCACAGTGTTAATGTAAACCATTAAGGCACCCTGTTTGTGAAAATGGTTGAAACTATATTATGAACAAACTTGTGGAGAAGGCGGAGTCATACTCAAAAGCTTTCATTTGCAATAATATGATTGCGGCAAACTTGTGCATACATTTTTCACGATGTTTTTCTGGCACAATAATGGTCCAAATACGCCATTCGTTAGAAAACTGGAGAGCAATAAACGTTCTAATGAGTGGATGTTCATTATCAAGGGCTCATCTTCAGACCACACAAGCATGTCTGTCTATGCTTATGGGCATACACTTACTCCGTTTTTATTTTCACAAGATCAATTCAAACCACATTTTCAACAGGATAGTGTGTATTCGTGCAAGTGAGAGGGATGGGATCAGATGCAGTCCTAACTATCCACTACATGTGGGATGTAAGGACAAAAATGAGGTCACCTCAGGCGAAGAATAGTTAAGAATTAAGCCAAGCGTAATGATAGCAAAAACTTGTAGTCCTACGTTTGAAGCGTTCTCATTCACCCTGCGTTCGAATTAATGCCTCTGTACAAATAATAAAATCAGTCAGGCTTCAGGCATTATGGTTTTTTGTTTGTGTTAGTGTATCGTAGACCTTGATTAGTTAGTGTGAATTCCCTACGAAATTCTACGATAAACAAAATTCAGCTAGTGTGGAGTGACATTGCTGTATTGTTAGGCAACCGAAGACCTAATTCTGAAAATGAGATTGGAAAGGTTTGTCGAACTGAAATCTTTAAGCACTCACGGACGCTTTCAAATGAGAAACACACGCTTTTCTATACGTCAGCGATGTCAGTTGCAGTGAAATAAAAAGCCTTTGTATCAAAAAGTGAAAATCAAACAGATAAAAAGGATGAGTTCATACTTAACAGAACTAGCGTATTTTGATGCTTTTCAAGTGAATATATAAAATATATTGCGAAATAACTTCCTTCTTAAATCTTTGAGCAAAATAATTTGGCATAAATACACACTTAGTTTGGTGATTTCGTAGACCAATACGTCTGTTTGTAGACTTATACTGTCTTAGTAGCAAAAATTAACTTTTTATACGTTAAGCTCTCTGATCAGTCAGTTAATGTCAGCATGAAACCTGATATTACTGCGCAACATTCCAAGTTGTATGTTACATAAACAATAAGACAAAAAGCAGAAATCAAGAAATGCTATCAAAATTTGCACAAAAATGGGATAAAGCATATGCTGGAATGTCAGTGATTGGGATGAAAATGCATGCATGCATACATCTCTGACCGTAGACGTGCATTGTTCTCGTGGGACGTGCAGCCATAACCTTTGTGGCCATTCGTTTAACCTAATCTAGCCAATCTTATGTCTTCATTATTCACCCTTTGAGTATCCTAGACGTCGGTTGATTCTTTAAGGTTTAGGTATGGATTAAAATTATAGGTCACTAAGTGTTGCACTCGACTGGACACCGATTAGCAGTCGTCTGACAGTTATTGACGTAATAATGAGAAAAATAAGGTCTCAAGTATTTGTCTTCTTGCATTCTCTGCAGTTCAGATGAAGTAAAAGATTTGCTTTACGAAAACTACCTAGCTTATTATCAGCCAAAATATTCAGACATGATGGTTGTATCGGGAAATTTCAGTGCACAGGTATGAAATGTAAGCCTGAAAAAACTCACCTACTTAGTACTTTCGAAATCTCAGTGAAACGAAGGAAGTGACAACTGCTTGCTACAGCTGTGTTCAGAAAACCATTTATTTCTAAATAGGGTGATTTTCAGGCCTGACAAAAACAGTTACGTATCGTGGCACCCATGAAACTCAACTCACCGGTGCATACAGACTGTATGGCCATTGGTTATTGCTGAAGGTCAATGGGAGATACCCACTCTTTCTGTAATACCTATTTAAATACAAGTTGTTTCAGGCACCCATACGCCTGCGAGTAAATGGATATACTATTTATCTATTTATTAGGAGACAAACAACACAGCAAGGGCATTAAAAAGTGCACCACACAAAATAATATAACAACATTATGAAGCGAAGGGAAGTTGGTAAATAAAAAAGAAAAACAATAGGAATAGAATGATTACGAAGGCAATCCAATAAGATGCATTCATTACTTTTTAGCAGCAGAAGATAAATGGGAGCTATGGCATGACCGCCACTGATTTCGATTCTGAACTATATTTGATAACGCCCCAAGCCACTGAGTTGCGTGATCTCTCGGACCCCACTCAGGCAGTCGTGATACACCAACAGATGCTAACCCGACACAATTATTTTACATTTCATGACACCATGTCATACACCGACAACCTTTCCTCTTTTTCCATCAAGTCCCTGGACTGCCAAATAATGAACGGTATGGAATCCGCTGGGACGACATGTGTAACACATGTCCATGCCACCGAAATCGGTGTTTCCAGATGACTTCGCTTATTAAATGACGATCTCCATCATGCCCAAACACACGCTGTCAAACCTCAGAATTACTTATATTGTGTTACCATGGGATACAAGCAGTCCTATAGAGAAGGCGGTGGTCGAACACAGAGAGTTGTCGCACATCCTCAGCTCAGAGATGCTTGGTTTTACAGGCGTGGAGCAGTACTGCTCGCACCGAAGCGTTGTAAACTCGACCTTTTACGGGGAGACTAACGTTGTGACGGCACCAAGGATGGCTCAGATTGGCGTATGCTACTGTGGCTTTCGATATACGGTTAGGAATTTGATGACACCTCCACCACTATCCAGATAGACCAACTTTTCGACTGCTTCCAACGGCTCACCACCGAAGTTGAGTGCTAGCATAAGTGTGTAAGTAGTGTGTAAATAGTCTATAATGGCAAAACCATTTCCAGCTAAGCTCATTTTTCAGGATTAATCGGTTCATTATAAAGAGGATCTGACTGAACTGTTATCGGGACAGGACAGTGTTACTCATCCTTAAGTCGCTCTGTAAAGCTTACAGTCTGTCTAAAAAAGCAAGTCGCTGTTACCCGGACTAAAGATGGATAAGGTAAGGTCGGTGGACCTAATCACCTTTTACCTGGAAGCATTTCTGGAGACCACATCGGTGAGCGTAAGTAATTCAAATGTATGCTAACAAAGAGTTTACGTAATGACGGTGATCAGTGGTTTGCTGAAAAAGTCTCATCGATTGAAGGATTGACGTTAACAGGTAATAGTAGACAACTGTATTGAACCACCAAAGAAACGGGTGAACAATCTAATACTAAGACTATTATACAAAATGGGTTTGTTGTTTACTCGCAGATAAGGCAGTTGAGATAACAGACAGATAACTTTGAGAAATCTTTTACGTGGTTCTTCTGTTGCCGACCATCTAGTTGCATGGTGAGAAGAGTAAGTTGGAAGAAGACTAAGGCCAGTTAGATCAAGATGTGGAACTAAGTGTTTTCATGACTTCGGCAGACTTTTCAGGGACCTACATGTGTAAGAAAAACAAAATCAACATAGAACTACACTTCACAGCAGTATATGAAGATCATTTGGGTAAAGAAAATGTTATCAAAGTTGATAAAGGTGTATGGGAGTAAAAGAGATTTGAAAATCAAGTTTGATGGAAATATTTGAAATTTAGAAGACGTCAATTGATGAATGCACCTACGCCATTGTGGCTGATTTCCAGCTATCACGGAGGATTTCCAATCATTGGTCCTTATCGTCTGGAGGATCTCAACCAGCAGTTTTCACTTTCATTCATGGCTGAAACCAACAGTTAAATACTTTGTGGACTGATGACACGTCTTGGTCTGGCTACCATGAGCCTTCCAACCGAATCCTACTTCGATAACAGTGTGGTGGCGGTGGCTAGGTATACGCAATACACGTCCAAGCCCGCTTAGTCACTGAGGGTTCACAAACTGATCGACTGACTTGCCTTCTTTGACTGGTCTCGTCATAGCTTACATGGTGAAGCCACCGTACGTGAGAAATGCTATAAAGACAGTTGTTTTCTAAAACTTATAAACTCTTCATATCTTCTGCTTTTATCGGTCATGTCTCACAGCTGTATAGCGGGATAGAACGGATTACAGTGCAGTATTCTCCTTCAACAGGTAGTACGATATCTCACTAGTGGATGCTAAACATGACACGAGGTGGTGAATGCCAAAAGGTCCTTCAGTATCCGAGCTGAGATTTGACCTGAAACCAGCCCGTTCGAACCAATACAACTCCCCAAATAAGTGAAGTGGTCAACGCATTTCACCACCTTACACTAGGAGTAGCTGCAGACCAGTTTTGAGGCTTCATCTTACACTTGACAGGTATGAAACGCACCCCAAAACATATTCAGATTTCTACTCAAGGTGTTCAGGGGACTTCATTTTGTCAGTGTCTTCGCCTAGCAATACAATGTCGTCTGCGTACTCTGAATCAGCCAGATGACCTCAAAGGGGTAGATCAATCCCTGGGAATTCAGACAATGAGATATTTTGGTGACAAACTGCTAGGTCTTACTGCATTGCATCCTTTAGGGTTCGATACAACCTTCTCAACTTCGAGCAGATGCGGAGAACCGACATCTACATCTCATCTGGGTTCGGACTGGTTGTTGGAAAACGAGTGTTGCTGTGGCCTAGTGTGTTCTGCCCAACATTCTAGCTGCCTGTAGTGAGATGCTATCCGCGTCTCATTCTTTTCTGTAATGGTCTCCTTCACCATCATATTCTTAATGTCTAAATAATTGCCTGATAATACGTAATTCTGGTGAAGTATCTACAAAGTTTATTGCATGTGACTGACACACCACCCTTGGTCACTTCTGGTACCACTACGCATTTATTTCGACCTTATAATGCTAAATGTTCAACTCATTTTTAACGAGGGTTCTGCTTAATGAAATCTGGCTTTTCGGAAATGAAGATGTTCTTTTCCTCTGTATTAAATCACCGTTGTTTCAGTACTATTCCTCAAGTTCACTGGGAACGTATAAGTAATTCTTTGATCAGCTTACGCACGTTTGTAAGTATTAAAAGTCATCATTCATAAGGTAAAGTCATTCTGGAACACTGGTTTCCGTGTCATGAACATGTTAGGAGTACCTTTTAGCGACTTGACATGTTATCATCTCAAGGCTTATTAGTTCATTTCCAACTATGTATTAGGACGTAACCGTGGATTGTCATCTGAAGCTATCCCAAATTTTGCATTTTAAGGATAATCACTGTCTATATTTAATCCAACTTACATGAACCTTGAGATAAATCATTTCCCTTTTGATTTACGTAGAAGTGACCTAGTATAAAGTGTACTCGCTCAGACACGGGTTTAGTTAGTCGGTTCACATTTACTCATGATAAAACTTGTGTGCGTTTAGCTCGTTTGTGTGTGCACCCTACTTTCCATTAGTGCTTCCAAAGGCTGCTGCTTCTAGTGAAACCTAGCCAACCATGTCAATCGACCTTGTATAGTGTGTGCAGCTCATAGCTTGAGTTTTGACTCTGAGAGCTGCAACATAAAGTCGATAGCGGGGTCCTAGGAGACTGGGAATGGGGTTTTGATGGCTTTGATCGTTGGCGATGGTTGCTGAGTGAGAGTTCAAAAAATTTGCAACAGATTTAATATTGGTATCAAAAGGCAAAGGAGAAGACTAAGGTAAGGAGCGTAAGTTATGTTTGATTGGGTTTTGTATACTTCTGGGAGCGTGCGGGTGGTTGACACTGCTTTTGCCCACACCGTGGAATGCCAGTTCTCCTTGAAGTACTTGAAAAAGGTTTAGTACGTGATCATGGAACCTATTGTAACATTTGCTTAGCGCTTGTCACACATGGCGCTTTTAGAAGTTTGGGGTTTAAGTTGGTTAGTTTCAAATTGGACTATAAAGCCACGCCTCTTGCGTCGGTGTGCCTCGGGGCAGACTAGATGTGGTGTGTTTAGGGCTGACTCTCCTAACCCCCTCTTCCCATAGGGAAGGCAACATCAGGGTTGCACTGCTGGTCATCTGCTATAAACACCTTACTGCCATCACGCCCTAATCCAACCAGAAGTACGACTTCGCCCTCACATCCCTATCATGGAGTAGTAATTTACACTATGAAGGTAACTGCTTTTTATCTTACAACAAATCTTTCTGGTATGATAGAAACTCGAAGCAAGCGGTCCACCGGCATAGTTCGTCGCATCATTGTGATATCCAAGTCCAACCACAACTTCGAGTTAGCAGCTGTTGTCACATATCTGTGAATAAACTCCATTCTACTGGTGAGAGGGGTAGATGATGCAACGACTAAGAATATCTACTCTGATTTCTTGTATTTTAGCCCGTGAAACTTTCTTCTTTTGCGTGCTTTTCTTATTGCATCTATTACTTAATAAGGCCTTTTTATGACCATAAGTACTTCGCATTAGTGTATTTCCGTAAAAATGCTTAAGCTTCTGTCGAAATTTGAAGCTTGGAGATTTTAAAAATGAAATACTAATATTCTATAATTCATAAAATTAAATTTCATTTTTTATTCTGATAACAGTTGTGAACCTAACTGAGAACACCTTGATTCCTATTATTTGTCATCTATATTCAACTGTCAATCAGGATATGATTCAATTGTATTTCATTTTCCCTTAAGAAGTCTGTATTGTGTTGAAATCAATTATGAATCAATATATCATACCATTGGCACACGATGACCCAAGATTATTTTCTCATGTTTCACAAGCATTTTCTTTGGTTGATCTTGGTAAACGTTTGCTGGACGCCGCAAAGAACGGAGATGTTGATGAAGTCAAAAACTTAATTGACAGTGGAGCACCATTTACCACTGACTGGGTTAGTTTGTAAGGAGTACATTCATTTAATCATGAATAATCTTATAACATATATAAAACAGATTCACAACAATGGATCATGTGCCTTAATCCTTTGAGTGGTGTTAAACTGTCCCATACTTGTGGAAAATAATGTTCAAAAGTAATATTTCTGAACCGTTGGAGTGGGGGGTGGCTGTAGGGGTTGAGTCATTTTTTCGTGTTGTGTAGGTAACCGAATTCTTTCGCTCATGGATTAGAATACTCACATGTGATTCGGTTGAACATTGATTATTCAACATTGCAGGACCCTAGTGTTTTTTTGAATTCCGTTTATTGAATAGATTCATACTCTACTATTATTTATCACACTGTAATATCCTTGTACTAAGTTATGGTGCTTCTTTCAGATAGAAACAAAAACTTCATGCATGAAGCGATAGTTGGTATATTTATTGGCTGCTGATTAGTTGAAAGGTTTGGAGTAGTGCAGTTTAGCGGCTTCGATTGTTATGAACTCTCACAACATAGAATATTTGACTATGCACTAGATTATGAATATCCCCAAGGTAAGGAAACAACTTAGACAGTTGTAGAGTATAATTCCACATTAGATTGATCAAAATCGAGTAATGATCAAGAAGACTGACAAAATGATGGTATCTCGTATCGTATCATTTACCCAAGTAGACCTTTTACTTACGTGCAATCGATGAAACTAGATATAATATGAATAAATGTAATCAGAAGGAAGCGCAATGGTTAGCAGGCAGTCGACATTTTTTCACTATTCAGTTTAAGGTTGAATGTGACCACAATGAAGTGTAGCATTAGTCTATTAAGTTTTTGACTAGTGATCCCAGCTATTTAGAAAGGTGTAGACCTCCCAAATGTAATCAGTCAAAGGTGATTTGTGGTAACATGCCTCAAAATCAAACGCAGGGGCCTATATGTATACACTCTTTGTTATTCTTAATATTTCCAAAATCCTATTAATTTTCTATTTGTAATCTTCCTACATATTTTGTTACCTTTTTTTTCGCTGAGCGCTTCACTTTTATGCTGAGTTCTACATTGTTTTGCTTCGCTATTTGTCAATCTTCGTGATGACCTTATTGTGCTCTGGTAAATAAGCAATACCAGGAATTCGCGATATTATTGATGGTAGGTTGTAAGCCTACTTTCCAAAGCTATCCAACCACCTGGCTGATATATATATATATATATATATATATATATATATATATATATATATATATATATATATATAGTTTTTATTTTTGACCATGTGCATTAACTTACTGTTAATTGCTAAATTGTTTTTTTTTTAATGTAGTTGGGAATATCTCCCCTTCATTTTGCTGCTATGAATGGACATCTTAGCTCGTGTGAAGCACTCCTGAGTGCTGGAATCAGCAGAGATGCTCGTACTAAGGTTGACCGTACCCCACTTCATCTAGCAGCTCAAGAAGGTCATGCAGATATTGTAGAACTTTTATTACGCAATGGTGCTGACCTTAGTGCTAAGGATATGTTGCGTATGACGGCATTGCACTGGGCGGCTGAAAGAGGTCATACACCTGTAGTTCAAATGTTAATGCGTTTTGGAGCTGATGCTCACATTCAAAACAAATTTGAAATGACTCCTTTAGATATTGCTGCTAGCAAACAGTACGATGATGCTAGAGATGCAATGTTGGTAAGTCCCTAACTGTGAGATGATATTGAATTTATATTCAAATTGCAGCAATTTTTTCAATAAACAACAACCATAATAAGCTTTTGTAATACTATATGGAGTCCCAGTGTTATTTGGATACTGTAGCTATGAACTGGTTATTCAGTCTCTTGTAAACCAGATGTAAATCTTTCATTTCAATTCCACTTCTGAAGTCAATATTCATCATTGGCTTTTGTTTTTGTAATCCACTCGTTTAATATTCGATATTATTATCATCGACTGAAGGCTCCGGATGAAATAGTGAGCCTGCGTCAACTGAAGTTACTGGGAAAGGTGTTAAACTTGGTTGGTTGCTATCTATCTTGGCATAAAATGGTAGTTATATTAGGATTACATCGGAAAGTAATTTGGCGTGGTCAGAAAAAGATATGATATCGGTCCACGTAGTGCTTGACGTTTGGTCTCAGCTGTTTAACGAGTTGTAGGCTTCAAGATTGGGACCCATGAGACAGCCAAAACCAATAGTTGAAGACTGCTGGAAATATGGCTTAGGATCAGTCGCAGTGGCTCAGATACATACATCTTACCTTCTTTTCAACATTTATTTTAACCCTTCCCCTTTTTTCCACTGCTTTTTACTACTTCTATGAAATTTCTTATATCCCCTCTTCCTTTCATCCTACTGCCAATTACTTTAGTGTGCTAATGTATATGGGTACAGCTGCGATCTTTACGCGACAATGCTAGCTTCCATATTGATTATGGCTGAATGACTATAAGATGACCGTTTAGGGTTTCATCTATATAACTTTTAGGTTTTTCAATATCTACCTCCTGGCTCGTATACGGTTCTGAATGCAAGGACTAATGTTTTGCAATGGTCAGTGTAAGTGGTGTACAATGTTTTTCAATGTTCAAATAGTCAGTTATCAGCAAATTAACTTGCCCTAATGTATCGGGATCATAGTGATTTACCAAAGGGTAAACACCTTTATTTTATCCTTATCATCTGTATTACGATTGCTTAAGTCAATACTGTTACTGTGTCAACAGTATTGCTTTTTATTATTTCTACCATAAGTATATTTTAAAACTTTCATTGCTGACCGACAAATCTACATGGTTGGTTCAACTTTTAAATATATATTGTTTAGCTTTGTTTGTATTGGAGTAATGCCAAGTGAGGATCTAATTAAAAACAATATTTGTTCGCTTATAGTGTCTTGCTCAAATTATTCTGTTGTAAGCTGGAAGCAAATAGACATTCCAAGAAGTCTATAAAAAGAACCTTGAAAAGTGAAGTTAACCATGTCCCGGACTTTTGCGATTGACTAGTTACTGTGTTAGTTCTATAGCGGAAGGAATAAGTAAGAAGAATTCTTAAAAATTATGCTCTAAGGGGCTTGTTTTTGTTTTGCCTCAATGGTGAACGATGCAATATCGAATGAAAATCAGTAAAACTGCTTTTATGAAGTCAAATGTAATCCAGTATATGTAGAGCATGCAGCCTGGCAGATAAATGTAAACATGAGTCAGTATAAATTGTATTTAAAGCAGATTCCAAAAACTTCAGCAGAGGTTAAGAAGCTACGAAATAAATCAACGATTACGCTACCACTCCATATACGCAGGCCACGAAACGGATTTTCATGGGACGTAGGTCCTACAAAATGGTTTTGAATCATGCTAAGAAAGACAGACCGCCGAGGCACTATGTATATACGCTCGAATTCAAATAGTTTGAACAGATGAGATGCTACTAGTTAACAAGTAGAAAGGCTGACTTTTGCATTTACTGTCATCACCAGTCTCATCTTCGTTAGCCTTGCATCAACAACAATACACAATTTGGATTTACCATCATCATTTCTACTATTCAGCTCTACTTTATTTTGACAGTACAAAGAAAAATTGGTAATATCGATTCACTTCTATATTACTGAAACATTATATATATATATATATATATATATATATATATATATATATATATATATTTCGTGTGGAGCTGTCTCAGTAGTTTGGGGAGATGACTACCAACCATTGGGTCACTGGTTCAATCCCAGTTCCACCTATCGAGGTTTAGGCAGTCAGGTAGTATCATTAGCCCTCATGCAATAGGTATGGCGTATTGCCTACTGCACTGATTTACACAAGGCAGCTGAGTGCGTTTTGTTCATTCATTCGTTCTTATCTTACACACACTTAAAATTGCTGAGTGAGAACTACGTCACATGCTACATTTTCGTCTCGTGTTTTCACTAAAAGGGGATATGAATAATAATTACACGAACGAATCGTATATCCAGATAAATTCAGTTTCTTACTGAATAATTGGTATTCATATCTTAAGACCGAAAATTAGGGCTACTCCAAAGGCCACTGTCGCAACTACTGAAATATACGATCAGATATCTGAGTTCTATGGAGAAACTACGTCTTCAGTTAAAGTACACTGGTTGATAGGGTGGCTTTTAGAGTCACTTCAAAAGTTATGCAAATAGGATTCGACAAGGAAATTCAGTACACTTTTCTGAACTCATTTATATATATTTCATATCTAAATTTTGATTATTTTGCTAGAGAAATTCTGATGGGACTTCCACGCGAAACGTTGGAATTATTTTATTTCAAGCACAGATTTCTACAAATATCACCCATAACTGATGTCAACTTTTTACTCATCGTTCGATGTTCACAATACTCCTTCATCAAATCTTGATCATAGTTCACATACAATATAATTAGTCCTGATAAGAGATTTCAGTTAGTAGCATTCTTACCCCCTACATTGACATTTGAAATTCTGTTTTTTCCGTGCAAAATCTTCACCAAGACATCATTATCAACTGTTTTCCCATGTTGTTACACGTACTACTGATATAGACTTCTAAGTAGCATCCACCACTCTTGTCCCATGAAAAATTCATTTCTACAGTTACGTAGATCACTTTACAGTTGCCTTCTATAGTTTTGTTTCCAATCCTGTCTTTTAGTGCCACTGCATCTATTTCCGAAGTTAACTGGCATTAACACGTCTCTGTTTGTCTCTTTTCTTGGTTATTGTTGTGGTTCATAGGTTTAGGGAGTGGATTTTCAACCGATGAGTGGTGGGTTTGAACACTGCTCTACCTAATGAGGTTTGGTAAACCAGGTTGTATGATCGGCTTTCATACAATAAGTGTGGCTCATTGCCTTTTGCACGGATGTGCATAAGGTTACTGAGTGGATTTCGATTTTTTTCGTGTAAATTACACGGCACCTATCGGTCACTGAGTACGGTCCTTCCCGCTCTGTTAACTTTCCTTATTATAATCCCACCTCCTGTGGTATGCTTTCGTCAAATACACTTCGTTCGGTCTCGCCTCGAAATTTTTTTTTTCGTATCTTCTTTCTCTCCAGGCTTCTCAGCATTCGCATTTTTGTCTATTTTCTACATTCTTGACAGCTTGCTTCCGCTTAGTTATCTCGTGTCTCATCTGTTACTGATGTAACTGTGGTTTTCGATCATGTATGACCTGTAGCGATAGTTTATTAGTTGTTCCTCGTACAGAGATAAAATGTGCTAACAAGAATAACGTTGATTCTGTCTCTCAGCCTGGCTGGCCAGGCCAGCCATTACTTCTGCGTATGATTGTTTCTTTTTTATCAAACTATTTATCTGTTGGATATATATATATATATATATATATATATATATATATTCGTTCATATCCTTCCAATACTCAAGTATCCCAAATGGAGTTTAAATTATTCACTCTCAAAAAGGACATTATTCTGCTAATATTACTTTCGAAATCCTGTGATCTGCAACAGTATGTCGATTCACATTTTCAGTAACTGTCTTTGGACGTTTATTCACACTCGCTACGGCGTTTATCCAATGTGCGGTATGTTATACCATTACCAGCAGGTAACAGTTGTTGTTATCCGTTGCGGAAAAGGTCCTAGTCCACTGACTATAGATCACTAACTGCTTTAAGTAGGATCAGGCGTATCCACCGATCATCTTTCACTAATTGACACAGGAGATAGAACACCACAAACTCCGCTACATCGTTCCTCATACCCGGCGAGTACACACTGTCGTAGAAGCTCTGTCTTCCGTGAAACACTTGTTTGTGTCGATTGCTGACATTCATGTATCATTTGTTGACATAGGCATTCTGTAATCACTGAACTCCCATCATTAGGTTGTCAGGTTAGAGCCCTGTTGGGGATTAATTGTAACTTTTCCTTCTGTATGGGCAATATTATTAACTCTGTGTTTGATATCAACTGTCTTGCATATTCTCTCAGTTATCGCTCCTATCACTGCACCAAAGATGAGATCCGACCTCTCATAATGAACAAGTCTTAGTCAGCTTTATTTCGGTGCATTTATTCTCTATGCAAACTTCAGTAGCTTAGCCTCTTTATTAGTTCTGGACAAGAAATTGGTTGGCAATTTCTTTCTCCTTAAGATGTGATCAGTCGTAAAATCGTACTGTTCTAAGCATATCATCCGTCGTGATAATTTCCCACGGGGTTCTCTTGGTGTTTCCAACTGCTGTGTCCGTCGGTTGTTTTAACGATGTATAACTGCTGTGTGATCGTGTTTGAGACATTCTCTACACCTCTTCATCCAACGTAGGAAGCGCGTGTAATAGTGGAGAACTTGATTCATCTCTTCATACCGCATGCTTTTTTGGTTTAACTTTCTTTCTAACCAACGTCCCTTTTAAAAATGGGCGTCTACTTTTACTGCAAAGTTGTTCTGATTTTGGACCACGTGGTTTTATTTTACTTGTGAGCGTGTGACAAATGTCGCTTATTATTTTCTGACTTGCATGCATTATTCACATAAGTGAATGATCAGAAAAGTACTTTGGTTAATCTTTATTTCAGGTTAGTATTCATCATGGACTGAAATCAGTTGGACAAACAGCAGAAGCACTGGACAGATGGTTCGTCCTTGTATGTGGATCCTCAGCAGTGCGCACCCATAACCCCAACGGGGGTAGAACTCAGAACCTTCAGGTTCCGTGACCAGCAGGTTACCATTTAGCCACTGAGTCGGAATCCAATGGTCCATATTTCCTACTTCTGTCGGTAACCGATTGGGCCAACCAAGTTGGACATGAGAACAGTTATTCAGCGACGGCATCGAATGGAGATCGCGCTATGTAGTGGATTGACAGAAGTAGGAAATATGGACCTTTAGCCGCGGAACTTAAAGTTTGTATGTTTGACCACTGGTGGCATCATGGGGCTGAACTTCTCAGGAGTCCTATACAGAGACGGACGAAACAGCTGTCCAGTGCTCCCAAGTTTCCAATGTTTCTCTAACTGATGAATACCAACTTGAAATAAATAAATAAATCCCCATAAACCTCCAGATTGAATCCTTCTTTAATCTCACAATTCTGTCATTATGGTAGTATCATGTCTTCATCACTATGGATTGGGTTTTGATGATAGTTAGTTTGGTATTTAAAGATTATTCGTGTGCTTACCGAACTCGTGTGCTTTTCCTTGAAACTTCGAAGTGAAACAATTGATTGAAAAAATTTTCAGGGATATAATGCTTCCTTTCTCGAATCTGGCCACTCTTAATGCACACTATGACAACGTATTTGAACATTCAAATGATTTTGTTGCAATTTTAGATTGTATACAGCTGATAAATATCCATCAAATAAAATATGACTAGATTTTATACTGGAAATCCCTTTCGTTCTTTGTTTTTATTTAAATTTTAATACTGATTATTTCCCCCCACTCTTTATCGGCTAACAACATGAGGTAAAATTAATGTTACCTTTCAACAAAATCGTCAACAATTTACGCATGTATATGTACATGTGTGAATATACACTGGTTTATAAAAACGAAGTGATTATGCGAGCACAACATGAAATAATGTACTATACTTAAGAGATAGTTATTTATGAACGATAAGTGGTACTATAATAAATAAAGTACAATAGTTATATAAGAGAGAATATTGTAAATTTCTGGTAAAAATCACTTTTAAAATGTACATACTAATGTAAAATAAACATGATGAAAAAAAACAACAACCATTTTAGCTGATAAAATTATTGTATTTTATAACAACAGAATACTCAATATGATTTGACATCATCAGTTGGTCGTATGGCTTCTACAAATGGAGATTTAGTTGGCGCTAATGCTTATATCATAACAGATGAAGAAACTTTAGTTCCAGCTGCTTCTCCAGCCGATGAAGTTACTGTTACTGCAACAACAATTGAAGAATCAACCAGTATACACAATCCTGAGATATTTTCAAATGATAATTGTAATAATAATAGAGGTACAGAAGTTAGAACATGTAGCAAATTGAGAAATGGTAAGATCTCTGTCAATAAACGTGTATGGAAAGCTAAAGAAAGAGACGAAAACTCAAATTCTGTTATTCACACTCAAGATTCAGAAACACAAATTATTCCTCATTCATTATCACAGTCATCATATACGGGAAATCTTCATTCTTATTTGGATACTACAAATAAGTTCAATGCAACTGAAGATATTCTACTGCCTTTGGATGGAGATTGTGTTAGAGATGTTGTAAGTTACTTGATTCCTACAATTTTCAAAATGTGAACTTTTCAACAACAAAAAAGTCTTGTATAAGTATCGTAATAACCACTTGATTTACTGATGTTGATGCACATGAAACTGTACTGTAATTGAATGATTTAAACAGTTGTAACTAACACTAGGTGGCTCGTTCAAATATAATGTGTTTTTGATTCGGATAAGAGTAGTACTGTTTAACACTCTTATGAAACCGTGACTCGTCGTTCTTCCAATCAACTTTCAACCAGTGGGTTATGGGTCCAAAACGTTCCACCTACTGAAGTCTGAGCGCCCAGATATCGTTCACACAATATGTGTGCTTCACTGCCTTATGCACCAACATGTGTGCAGCTATGGCGCAGTGGTTTACGCAGTTGCCTTTCAACCAGTGGGTTGGGACCTACTGAGGTGTGGACGCTTAGATAGCATAATTAGCCCTCACACGGTAGGTATGGCTCATTGTTTACTGCACAAATGTGCACATGATTACCGACTGTATTTCGATTTTGGATTTCGCACGATGTTTGTGGCTGGTTGAATGTAGTTTCATTTTCTGTATTTTACAAATTAGCGCTCGTCTATGCATGACTTGTAGTCGTCCAGTTATATGCATCTTAACTAACTTCTTTCTTCTAAGCTATGTATTGACTGAAATGTTAATCGAAAAATATATTATTATTATAATTTTTTTTATTCAAATAAACTATTTAGGTGGAATAAAATTGGAGAAAATTTTGCTCATTGATTTAAGCAATCGACTTTCAACGAACTGCCACCTACCAAGGTTAGTGTAACCCGGTGGTATCATCAGACCTTAAAATATAAATGTTTAGCGGACTACGTAGTGCACAAACGTGCATGCAGTTGTTGATTTGCAAAGAGGAGTAGTAACGGTTATGTTTAATTCAAATACATTTTTTAGAATTCGACTGACTGCTACTTGCAGATAATGTAATAGTAAGCATTTTCGTAACACACAGTCTTGTCGGTATCTGGATATTTTCTTGATCTCTTTAATGCAGGATGAGACAAATTTAACATATTCGTCGTTATGAAGTTTATTTGGTGTTTATTTAACCGGATGGAAAACGACACATCGACTTTATTATCTAGGATCAAAGCCTCAGCTTTATTTCATTCTCAGTATTTTAGCCCTTGACAATACAGAAAGAAATAGCATTGACAGGAAATTACTTTCTCGTTATTCCCTTCTGGATAATTCATGACTACTATATAATTTATTGTCTCTTAGAAAATTGAAGTGAATAGATTCACACTTATTGTATAATTCTTATAAACTAGATGATAGTTGAAACTCCCGATGGTGAAACACTGTATGTCCATCAGCAACCTAATGAAGATGGCTCTAACGGTTTGGTTATACTAACGAGTACAGGTGAACAAGTGAATAACCCAACTTTAATGGAACAGGTGATGGATGCGATGATCACTTTGCCTGAACAAGTGATCACTGATACAATCAATGCAGACAAGTAAGTGAAATACATCATTTACCATATTTTCATGGTGTGTCAGTTCAATAATGAGAAAGTTTTTCTAATTAATTGCTGTCATTGATTGGAATTGTTCTTTATAATCCATATTTTTTTATACCCTTTGTCAGTTGCCATTTAAGCATTGAATCGGATTTAAATGCTTCACCATCTCAATGTTTGGATAAGAATTCAAATAGTGTAAATCCAAAATCAGCGTTTAACAAAACAACAGTTATTACCAATGACTCCTTTTTTCAGTCTGGCGCCAATGGACGTCGTACAAGAGGTGGACAGCTAAGTCCTCATATTATAGAAAATGAAGATGATGACGATGATGATATTGATAGTGATGAGTCTGAATCGTTAATAGCTCACTTGGCTGCATTTGCAAGCCAACCTAAATCCCAACAGACAACTGTTTGTGTGGAAGGTAAGTGTATCGGTAAAAAACAAAAACGTTTTACTAATAGTTTCATACTAATTTAATTATACATTGGTGAAAATTCTTCTTTTTGTACATTCCACGTGGGTTAGAGGCCAGCCCTCGCAATAAAACGTTTTTCTTCTCACTTGTATACGCATTTTCTATAAAACTGATCTATTCAGAGTGCAAAAACGATGCAACCAATCAAAGTATGGATGTTGTAAAATTGAGGATAACAATAATAGACTGCACCCGGACAACAAGTTGGTATGTGACACCAGACTAAACGAAAAGAAACAACCAGTAAACAGCAGTTTCACGTACTCACATGTGTCCTGCTAAGGTTTTCTTATTGGTCTGGACAGTCGACCAGAAAGCTCAAACTTTGCTTCACCTACTGAGGTTCGGTCAACCAGGTAGTAACACCAACCCTCACACTATAGGTGTATCTAACTGCTTGGTAAACAGATGCACATGCTTACTGGGTTGTAAGATTTCGTTTTTTAATTTCCAGAAACCGTCACTAAAACGTAGTCAGTACCCATTAAACTGTAGCAGTTTTGGAGGTGGCAAAACATTTTTCGCAGTAAACATCTGTTACATCTTAGTGAGGACCTTGTTTTCTGTTATGGTTGCTGGGAATACTCAACCTAGTTTGTGAAGTGAAGCGTATTATCAGAAAACAATGATTGAAGTGTTGTGACACTTTGTTAAAGATGTTGTGTGTAGCAACTAAACACCAGTATATTTGTCAGTAAAGTCGGTTATTAATATTTATCGTTGAACTTTTTTAGAAAGTATAAACATTTCTAGAAGATTCTTTCTTGATTTTCTTAGTCTTATTGAAATCCTCTCTTTTTAAATACAATATTTATTACGAAACTATATGTAATTATGTAGCCGAAACTTCAAAAAATACATTCTTTTGGTTTTCATTCCTCCTTTTTAAGGAATGGGATCTGGTGCTTCAACGCACGATCTGATAATGTGGTGTCTGTATAATGGAATATTTATTCGCGGATACGCTGATGAGCCAACATTTATCGTTGAATTTGTCTATCAAGGTGAAGCGTACACCCTTTCAGCTTCATATGGTAAGTGCAACGGTTATCGTATGAAAAATGTGATCAATTGGACAGGTATTGTAGTGACTTGTTGATTGATACCTTGAATACAGGTTTTATATAAGATATTTAGCACTTTAAAAAAAAACGTAAAAACATACTTCAACAATTATCAATACAACGTTCCATATAAATAAATAATCCTAGTTGATTGAGAAGTGTAAATTGCAGGTTCTTACTGCAATGTCCAAAAAGATGCCTCCATCACAAACTACTGAGTCAATACACAATATTTTTGTAACCAGGAGTCGATATGGAGATAAGAGTTCCGCATACACATGTCAGCTACTGTGGTTATGTTACCACTGATTACTTCATTGTGTGAGTGCTTCTCAGAAATGTAGATATCGGTGAGCTATATACAGGAGTCTTTGTATATTCACACAAAAACCTGTGTGTCTTTAATCACATACATAATTAGTTCATTCGAAGTGTAAACTCAATATAGTATTTTACTGATTAACTTTCTAGTCATCCGAATGACTCTACTGCACTGTTGCACCACCAACAACACTAGACAGGCTATTATCAGACATTCGGGGATTTAGTGACAAGGATGTGTGTAGGTGCAAAAGTTGCTTTGCATCTTTTGGATTAAATAGTTGTGTATATCACTCCTATTACAATTCAAAAGCCATTTAAGTGAAACAAAGAATATTCTTTTCGATAACTTCTTCTTCATGTCCATGTTGAGGAATTATGCGTCAATAATACTGACATTTCGCTTATCAGTTTGATAACAATATTATACAGTTGAGAAAAGTCTTGTGTCAACGTCAATGATAGAATCAATGGTTACTAGGATTCACTCCGAAAATAACTGATTATCTAGACGATTGCACGGGTGTAGGTGACAATTTCATAAAACAATGAGGTGTTTATGAGAGCTGGATGGAATAAACTACGAAGGATAAGTTTGAGGAATAATAATCTTGATAGGATGTTACTCATGTTGGCGACCGAAATAGGTTAAGAGAATGCGCTAGTATTATTCCAGATTATAAGGATGAACAGTATGGAACTAGAAAAGTAGATAACTTGGGATAGGATGCTGAGGAATTTGTGCGTCTCGGTAGTTGTAGTGGCAATACTTGCTTTTTTGAACTCAGGTTATTTGATCCTGATTGCTACTCCATATGAAGTGTGAAGGATTTGAAACTGTCACCTACACCCGTGCAATCGTCTAGATAATCAGTTATTTTCGGAGTGAATCCTAGTAACCATTGATTCTATCATTGACGTTGACACAAGACTTTTCTCAACTGTATAATATTGTTATCAAACTGATAAGCGAAATGTCAGTATTATTGACGCATAATTCCTCAACATGGACATGAAGAAGAAGTTATCGAAAAGAATATTCTTTGTTTCACTTAAATGGCTTTTGAATTGTCTGCGTTTGTTTGAATCAAACTACTTGAATTTGTGTCGTAGCATGTTTTCCTATAAGTAAAGGCTAAAATCTAATTTTCACATTAGCCATTGTTTTCTTTTTTTCTGTAACACTTTCCTTTAAGATTCAAAGTCCGGTTCTATCAATTTCTATCATGTGGAAAGTCATCAGAAAGTATAACAATTCTGAAATAATTAATTCAATCAAATTAAATTATGTGTATATAGCATCATTGCACTTCTAGTAAAGATAGAGAAAATTATGTTTCCTTATTTTTATTTCGTAAAAAGCATCTAAAATAATTATTTATTGTTACTAACATAAAAATACATTAGCTCTAGAGCAATAATTATTGCAATCAAATGAAGTGATGAAAAGTCAGTATGCAAGAGAAAGAAGCGAAAAAGAACTTCTTTAAGTACATTTTAAAGTTGAAGGGTCCAGAAGTATGTGCTGTTTTAGAACCAATGGAAGGGGCAACTGATTAACCCAGGTGATAAATGAAAGTGCATTACCACCATCATCATCATCATCCACTGAAGGACTCAGTATATCGTATAACTGGCAAGTAGATATAAATCGGTATTGAAGGATTCGACGAATTGTACGTATCACGAGGAGTCTTAAACTGAGTGGCGGACTGAAATGGCATTTTATATCAGTTAACCTGCAATTTTTATACAAAAGAATATTGAATCGGTTATTAAAATATGCTCAAACAGTAAAGAATTGGAAACTCCTAAACTGAAACAACTACTAAGCAGCATAAAACTTTATGTACTCTATCCGTTAACACTCGAAGCCAGTGCAGTGAATAGGAATGAATAATTGTTGTGAAAAAACTAGAAATAAGATAAGAATATATGCATATAGATCTAGAGTACGTTTTTCATTCACACACCGTTTAGGTTTTGAATCTACATCCCTTGGTATATATATATATATATATATATATATATATATATATATATATATATATATATATATATATATATATATCTTGACATACGGTGAGATGAATTGAAGTCAAAGCACTCGTTTTGTCCCCTTTTTATCCTATAATCGAAGATATTTCTCCTTCGTCCCTCTAATTCATGGGCAAATCGATACCCTTTGAATTAAATACTGTGAATGTGTCATCTATTCACCTCTGTCATATTTTGGCAGAAGGGATAAATGTCTTAAGACTGCTCCCCCAATTATCCATAAGTGTTTCTGTAATTCTTAAATATATCCTTATAATCCCATTACAACTTTTGGTTGTTTGGATATCTTTTCTTCAAGCCCGAAAATTGTAGAAGTCAGGCATAACTGTAGTTCGAGCATATTTCTTCAGCTGATACCTTGGTGTGAGTTCCTGGTCAAAGCTGAGCTCATTTCTAACTGCTTCTATAGCCATATCAATTGATACATTAGTGTAGAGACTAGCTACATCAAAGCTAACCATGTTTTTATCACCTTCTAGTTGCAATTTATGTAGTATTTGTTTTAGTTGACGAGAGTTAGTCAGTCTAGATTTTGAAAGGTTTCTAAATGGACCAAGTATCGTTGCTAAATAACTAGAAAATTCTACTCCCACATGAATAAACATTTTCTGAATAAGTGTGTAGAATACTTGTTTCAAATATTCAGATCAATAACCTTATTAGTTGACTGCCTCCAGTCCTTAAATCCGGAGGTCCAACCACCTTTGATGATTAACTTAAATCACCTACCAAATGAAATATTAGTCTGAAATGACCTCGATTCTACAAACAACTAAAAGGTAAAACTAAGCACACTTACATAGTAATCAACCTCTGATTCTCCCATTCAATGGCGTTTGAATCATACAACTGACCATTTATCCACCATTCAGGTAACTGACCGAGGATGATTAGTTGGTAAAGCACTACTTCAAGCTTGCTTATTAGAGATTCAGTACTAACAGAGGTGGAAATCGATGATGACAAAGGCCTAAGGAGTCTTTCTTGAAAGGCGTTCACGTTAAACGTTAGTTGATCGGCTTGGGAAAGATTGTCTTCACATTGGCATAAAGAAAAGAAAAATGAATGCAGTTGAAACCACTCAACATTCATACTAATTTTCTCATGTTACCTTAATTACCCGGTTTTTTTTATTATCATAACTCGAATTAATGTGACTTTGTAATGCGCTATTTTCACCTTATCTCATGGCTTAGTGTTCTAGCGACACTTAACTTCTGCACCAAATTATGACAAACAGTCAAAATCACTGTAGAACCTCGCACGCAAACAATATCAAAGTAGATGAGGGTGTGTGATCAATGGAAATCTGAAAATCAAGGTTAGTGAAAATGTTAAAGCCGTGGAAAAGCATCTAAGAGTGAGTACATCTACGCCATTGTGACCGATTTCCAGCTATTTCACCAAGGGTCTCCAACCGTTGATTCTTATAGTCTCGGAGATCTCAGCCAAGCAGTCTGCGCCTTCATACACGACTCAAAACCAACACTTAAAAACTTCTTGAACTGGTGATACGTTTTGACCTCGCCAGCCTGAGCCTTCTTACAACCCAATCCTTTATCGGCCAACACTGCACATCGAGGAAGACGGTGGCTCGGCATACGCACTACGTGTCCCAGCTATTTCATTTGGTGTGGGTTCAAACCCTGGTCGGATGACGTGCCTTCCTTCCTAGCACTCTGCCTAACCTCGTCATGCCTGACACTGAGTCCGCTTTACCTGAGGTGCGTTACAAAGGCACTTGAAGTCAAAAACTTGCAACCGCTTCATACCAACTTTTAACGACTATGTTTGACAGCCGTATAACAGGACAGAACAAACTGCATCACAGTATACCCGTCCTTTAATAGGTAGTTAGACATCTCACTAGTTGGCGTCAGACGTGGCACAAATTGGCAAATGGCAAACAAGCTTTCTGTATCCGAGCTGAGATTTCGACAGAAATCAGCCCGTTCGGACTGGTTTGACTTCCCAAATAAGTGAAGTGATCAGTGCATTCCACGATTTCATTCCCTATCCTTAAACAAGGAGTAGTTGCAGACCAGTCAAGGAGCATCTTACATTTGACAAGTGCGAGACCCACATTAAACAAATTTCTGCTTAAGGCGTTCAGCTTCTTCACCTAGCTAGACAATGTCTCTACGTATTCCCATTAAATCAGATGCCCATCAGTGAGTAGATAAATTCCTGTGAATTCAGACGCATTTAAGGTTATGTCCATTGTTACAGCGAGGATCCCTGTTGTATACTTGTCATCAATACAGATTACAACTCATTATGAGCTCTTACACGGCCGCTTAGTTCGAGTAGACAGCTTTGATTAGCTTTATATACTTACTTGGAACTCGGTTCTCAGTCAGACTGCCACAATACCTCACGGTCGATACTTCAGGTCAGAAAATATAGCAAGTGTCGGCCGCCGTTGAGTATGTCTGTGTTACAGGATCTGCAGAAGGCGAGGGGTGGAAATTTGATCGATAAATCCTCATTCAGGTCTGAAACCTGCATGGTTTCTTCCAATTCGTTGTCCTGGAGTTCCAGTTAAGCGTCGGATAACTATGGACCCCATGGTTTAGAACATGATGTCGACCAAACTGATTCCCCTACGGTTGTCACAAGAAGACTTCTCTCCTGTGGCGTCAACTGGAATGATTAGTGGAGTAGACCAGCATAATGTGACTGCCTCTGATTCGCACACACTACCTAGTACCTTTGTTACTCTAACAGGTAATTTCCTGCTGTCTTCATTAAAATATTCTAGTGGCAAACCGTCACGTCCTGCAGCTTTGCATCGTATCAAGTGAGAAACAGTCCTCTCAACTTCGATGATGGTTGGAGGACCGAGACTCTTGACTATTCAGGTTTGGACTAGATGCTGGGCAGTAGAAGTGTTGCTGTCGGCCAGTTGAACTGTGTTTTAAAGTGCCCTGTCCAACTTTGTAGCTGTCCGCCTCATTATTTTCGGTAATGGTTTTACTAACCTTGTTAGCATACCTAATAAGCCAGTACAATTTCCGGGTGTTACCTGAAGCTGATACCTTTTCATCTCTCTCCCTTCTCATTGTGGTCAGAACCAACTGAAATGAGTTTTCTCGCATGAACCAGTTCAGATGACGTAGTGGAAACCCACTGACGTTTGTTAACCTTTGAATGTAGATTACCAACTATCTTTACCACTGTTTCTACAGAAAACCTAATATCCCGCCAGGTTTCCTCAGGATGAGCACTGCTGTCCCGTCCTCCCTAAATTAGTACTTGGGTCTTGAATACTACTGGAAACGTACGGGCATTTGACACTTCCCGGTTGCCTACACTGTGAGAAAGTACATGAGAGGAAAAGGTTTGTGTCACCCCAGAGCCATTCATGACATCTGCTCGTGGCTTGTCACAAAAAAGCCTTTGTGGATTTGGTTTGAGATTTGATTTTTCTAATGCCGAATAGGAAAAACCCATACTGCCGGTACCGGAAGACCACAGGACAGAGAGTGTGCTATTTTCACAGCCAGTCTTCTCTAGCCCACCGCTTGCTATAACGTGGCGTTACTGATCATCCAACGGAAACACCTTATTGCTGTCACATCTCAGCCAGCGGTAAGACTTCACCCTCAGATCCCCATCATAGTATAGCGGTTTACACCACGACGGCGACTGCACTTCGTCTATCCAACGAATCTTTCGGGCATGATAAGACTTCGAGCCAGTGTGGCTCGCAGGGTCATTGTGAGATGGAAGCCCGACCACCATGTCAAGGTAGCAACTATCGTTTAGGTTACAACCTCCACACAACACGTGGTTCAAAGCCTGGTGTACTTGTATATAGCTTTCGAGTTGCATTTACACATCAGTATGTCTTTCTGGACTGAATTTTGATGTTGTATACCGCGATATTCACGTTGATCTTAGGATTTCGATGGTTGTGCTTACTATTTGAAATTACAACCACTTATTAGATAACTCGGTAATTGTGACTGAACAGGTCAATAGTGAAATCAAATATCAGATACAGAGATATCCAAACCAAGTTGGGATTTGACGATTTGGAAAAATTTGAACATAGGCTAGTGATATTAAAACAAGGTTGTTTTATATTTCTTTAGGAATACAAATAATAAAATAACTAACAACCATCAGTTACTTTACTGTACCAGTCATCAACCTACTGTGTATCTGCTTGGCTGTTTTTTGAGAATTTTGATTACTGAAACTCTATAAAAAAAACTGAAAAGTTCCTCACGACAAATCATTAAGAATAGACAAAATGCAAGTAACGAATACAGAGACATGCATACCGCTTACAGGAATTTAGATTGAAAATTGGCTTTGAGCATGCACTTTACTAACATTGCTTTGAAAAACATGCTGTCTCAATGCCAACAGGTGTGACGTGCATCGATGCATACCATACATAGGGCATCACACTTAACTCACCGTGGGATAGAAGCAGTAGGTTGGCTTTAATCCAAAGCTGCAACACCGATGTAATACGCTCACCATTATCTGATTTAATACGACTCAAAAGCTGTTCAAGTGTGAAAAGTATCTGGTTCTCATCACCTTTACCAAATGACCCTTCAGAATGTGAACTTTTATTAGCTTTCAGGTTACATGCAGGATTGTTTGTTTTCATTTCATTTGGCAAAAGAGCGCTACACAAATGAAAGCGTGAAAGGAGACTTTCTAAACAACTACAGGCCCCATGAGCGCGACAAAGTAACTGTGTTAGAGCCGTCAACCCACCATAGTTGGAGTGTAATAGACTGGTTGAAGTCAATTCGGCCATCAGTTTTTTTATTGCACCACATAAGCCTTCATTACATAGGACAATAAGCGGTGTATCTCCAGTAATTGGATGCTAAATGAAATGAAATACACTTGAAGCGCTATTTCAACTGGAAGTGAACCAGACAAAACAAGTACGCGTATGTCGGTACCAAAAACATCTGAAAGAATTAGTTTAAGTTCAGAAAAATATGTGAAGACCCCTCAAAATCTCTGGGATCACGATGCATTGATATGGATTAAAAACAGAAAGGCACAATCCCGTTCCTAGTTTACAAAGTAAATGGTAAGAAGAAAAACACAAACAACTGATCTTTTACCTTTGTCGTACAGATAAGTCGATTGATTTCTTCGCTCATGATCACACTGAACTGAAAGTTGTTCTTATTTATTAAATTTGGTGTTTTTATAAAGCATATGTGCAAGACTACCTTCACAGCATGCCTTTTCATTTTAGATGTGCAGTTGTTTGTACACCTTATAAACCTGTCACTTATGGTGATCATATAATAGAAAGGTTAACCTAGAACTCGGAAAAACCTCGCCAATTATGTACGCCATAACCCATAGACCCGCATAATGATTCACTTCGAATTACTTGACCGGTCAGCTCGGACGGTACAGCATGGGCTTTTTCGGATACTGTAGCACTGAATGTACCACCTTAGTACGCGGAGCTAGGACTCAGTCGTTGGATTTCCAACCCTCTATTATACATTAGCCATGAATCCACAGTCGTAAACTGCTCGACTTGACTTCGCGAGATTTTTAAGGGCGACTTCGGCGAGGCAACACAATCGAAGTATACCAAGCGGTCGAGTATGGATTTGTTCCTTTCCCTGCATTGTCTTTTGTACAGCCAAGCAGAAGAGAACCTATACATGCTTTTCGAAAGATTGGGCACTATGGAGCTTACGTAACCAGCCCCACAAGAGTACCTAAACTGATAGATGAACATAAATGTGGCCGAAAGTGGTATTCTATCCTTTCATCGGTTGCAGAAAACAGTTCAATAGCACTCTAGGTCCTTTTTGATCGCTTTGAACAAACGACTGGAGCGTTGTCCCCTTAGAATTTAAGTTATGAACATAGTCTTTCATGGAAATAGTGAGAACTTGTTTTGCTTTTTGTCAGTTTTCATCTCATGGTCAGAGCACTTGCTATGTGTAAAAAGTTGGTACTTTCAATCTGCTAACATTCAGTCAGTAAAATCAGCTTAATAGACCATCATTAATTATTACACCTGAAGTAAAACCTCATTTATCCGTGTCTTTACCATGTCTATGGGTAGTTGATAAACTCCAACCAGACCTTGATGTTGTGGTAAGTTTGACGCTAGTAGAAACCTTAGTTAGAATTGCGTGCTTAGTCTCACTATTTTATTCAGTCTATGCCATATTTCTAACAAATGAGACATCATTGGTAATTATATAGACTCACCACTTTTCAGTCTAACAAAAGTGGTGCTAAAAAGCATATTGGATATTAGATGCGACTAAAATGTTTTGAATAAATATCACAACTTATTGTGGTAATAGTAGCTGTAAACTCACACTAGCAGCCATATCCAAGCCACAATCGAGAAGGATTTTGAGACCAAGTCCGTATGTTTTAGATACGAGTAAACACACTAGTGAACCCATTTCTTCACAGCTGAGATCTTTCAAAACAAAGCCATTATTTACAAATCTCTTTAGAAGAGACAGTGGACACTCTGAATTCCTAAGCCTTGACAACAGGGTGCTAGAATTCATCCTGGATTTATGACATTCATCGGTGGAACAGTCTCCAAAGGGGCTTAAGTGTCAAACCTGAAAAGAAAATCGTGAGAAAGTTAGTTTAGTTTAAATTAAAATAAGGACAGTAAACCAATTTAGCCTGTATTAATCCACGTAGCATATAAGTCAGTTGGAATTTAGTTTCTGTTTGACTGCGTACACCGTTAAAAATGATAGCACCTCGGGTAAACGGTCCTATTTTTTGATCGCTATGCGGTTAAAACGCGAACTGAAACTAAGTTGGTTTGGCTATGTTTTTGGAATTTTTCTGTAACGGTATAGTGCACAATGGAAGTGGAACTGTGGTTTAGGTAGATGACTATGAACCGATGGGTCATGGGTTTGAATCCTGCTCCACCTACCGAAGTTTGACCAGCTAGGTAGTATCAACAGCCTTCACACAATATGTGTGGCTCATGGCTTACTGCAAGAATGTGAACAAAGTTTCTGAGTCCGTTTCGTTCGGACATCCGATTCTGGAGGGTTGACGAAAATATACACGGGACCTGACAGTTACTGAGTGACGGTCTAAGCCGCTGTTATATATTCCGAACGGATATAATACGCACGCTTAACGAACAGCTAACTTCGTACGTAACAGCCACCGACTAGGGTCGAATAAAGAAGAGCGAAGTTGGAGTTTATTTCTCCGAGTATAAAGAACCAGTTAATTTAAAAACATGTATGTATACATATGAAATACGACCTTGTTCGTAAATTGAGGCATTAACACAGTAAGAGTAAGGATTAACCAATCAGTGGACTACATTAAAAATGGGGGCAGAAAATAAACTACTTGTCATGCTGTAAACATTTTGTAAGAATGACAAGTTAAAAATGTTCAGATCAATAACAATGTTTTATGCAAAACTGAGGCCTTACAACAGTTGCCGCACCTTGATATTCCTAAGGCAAAGAAAGAGATAAAGCATGTCAACCCCATAGTTGTTACTAAGACTACGTAATGGCAATATTAGATGTCTATTTCTCTCAACATAAAACAACACGAATAGATTCAGTCACTCTAAACCCTTCCTGTAGGACAGATTAAATAGACTAGTTACAAACTTAGGACTGAAACTTTGGATACGTTTCAGTCCAATAACTACTTTTCTGAAGCAAGGTTTGGCTGCCTAGTTGAAGTAATCAAAGTAACCTCGCATGTACGTAGGATACAATATCTGAAACATGTCTTCATCAAAGCATTTGAAAGCTCTGTGTAGAGACCAGAGTTCCGATCGTTTTTGTTGCATTACAGAGTACAGACCTCCCTAAGTCGTGGGTTACGACTACTCTTGAGTCCTTAAGTTGTTGGATGTCATGCACTAGTGATCCATATGTTGGATTTTGGTGACAACTGCCATGGTCAATATGCACAAGCGCGGTGTGAAGTTAGTTTCTAGGTGCAAGCGTTCATGCTCCCCCACTAATCCAACTCGACTTGGCATACCTATCTATTTGCATCGTCTTGGATAATAATAACACCAGAGATTTAAGTTTTCGACAGCATAAGGGCACCAAGTAGGGGAAGGAGAGAACCCATCTCCTCACAGGATACTATTTGGCGTCTTATTCACCTTCACTTTCTGTTTCCTATCGTATAAGAATGCTCTAGTGTACACAGACAGATCACTGTATACTCTAATACAAAATTGCGTCTTTTCAAGTTGTCACATTTCACATGCAAAGAAAAAAGAATGACACAGAAGTAAGCAGAATATCAGAGGAGAAAGGGTGAAAAAAGTTTAGCGAAAACGTCCAAGACTTTAAAGGTGGAGGAGTGCACATATCTGCGCCACTGTGACCGATTTCAAGTCATAACACAGAACCCTCAACTACTGATCCCTGCAGTTTTGAGAAACCCAAACAGACATAATATTCAAACCAACAGTCAAACGGATGTCTTGCAGTACCACAAGTGGCGTAAGGTAGGATGGATATTCAAGAGTTGGGAGTTCTCAGTGCACCTGCCCACAGACTCGTAACGAAAGGAACTCAACGGCGATAGAACTTGCTGAGGTGTGAACCACCTGGGACTTTCAACACAACAGTAAGACACGTTGGTATCTCAAAGTATTAGATTGAATGGGTTTTACCAAAAGAAGCTTCCAAATGCCTCTGACCCTACTGCTAAGGTTACGCAACCATATGAGGTTTCAAAGATAGTCGACACAAGGTCAAAGAATCTTCAGAAGGAATTTAGTGTGGCTTTAGGGAGCCTCGGAAAGCCAAAACGCTGAATTTTCTGATCGTTTTACTTATGACTTGAAACTAACTGAGAGCTTCATTCGGCACATCTTATCGGAAACAGCCTTTGAAGTGCGTGTCTAAAATGTGGTTAGACTAAGAAACCAGGCTAGGAATAAGCGCAACTCACAAAAGCAGTTTCGAAAAATAATGAGGGCAGAATTACTTTGAGTTTTTTATATAGTATGTGAATTGAATATTCGTATATGATCGAACTAACGTCCAAAAAGTGTGAAGAGATGGATCGCTTTTGTTGAAAAGGTACGATAAACCTGAACATTTGTTTGCAGGTGGTGGGCTCTTCAAAAACAATGTTTCTAAGGTCTGTGTGGGCAAGCTGGGTAGTAATTTGAATATATTAACAGTATTGCGAGCTAGTACCGAATGGCCACGTAACTAACTTTTAAGAGCGTTTTATTAAAAAAGCTAGGATGCAACGTAGGTGCTTTCATAGAAACATGACTCAAAGGATTTCCATGGTGTTACTTTCCCACTTGGATATTATTACGTCGGGGTTGATGAGGTATCAAGTCTTAAGAGTCCAGACATAGCTATACCCCCTTTATTACCTAAACATGAGGTTGGCTAAGTCAAAAACATATGACAATAGTATGTGTGAAGTGATCAGTTGTCATGCCAACCCAAAGGAATGGTGACAGTTGGGACAATCTACTGATGTGCACCTTGTGTAGTCAGCAACTTCACACTGAAACGTAGACGGAGCTAGACTGATAACACTAGACGCTTGATAAAGGTCGCCTAAAATAGAAAAGTTAGGTTGGGACTATTGGGTGAATGACCGACGACACTTTTACTGGCCTGTTATTCGTCAAATTTCGCAACTTATGCCATCATAGTGATATTGGACCCCCTATTAAAGGTTGTTATGGGCCGTTTATTATCTGGAACATCGTCATTAAAGGTGGAGGATATGAGGAGGCTTTATGTGTTGGGCCACCGTTACCTGCCTAGCATAGACCACATTACGATGCCAGCGAAGTAACGTGGAAGTCAGGGATAGAGTTTCAGAGAGGAGTTGAGCTGATGAGGTTTTGAACTACCAGACTCACATGGCTGGGATATGGGTTAACTATGCCTCGTCACTCAACATTGGTTGAAGTTAAATCAGACTGTAAACAAGTTAAAAGCAGCCATAATAAGACAGCATCAGTCTTTGAAGTATTTAACTGTTGGTTTGGGCCGTGGAAGAGAATTTTAATCCCTCAGCTGCGGTTCACATGACAACAGAAAACGGCGCTTAAAAACTACAAATGACGTGGCTGAGGACCAATATCAATGGTCCAATGTATCCCCATATTATATTCCTGCTAATCGTCACCCAATTTCACTACTCTCATTTCTTTTGTCATGACTTTCCACCACTGACTAATTCCTTGCTTACTTCCCTATCTTTGACCTTGAAGCCTACTCAATTGAGGTGATGAGGTTCCACTTTCGTGCAGCAATCCCAGGTCTACGGCCCATCCTAAATGACGCCACAACACAAGTTTAAAATAATCAAGAATTCGTATTTGGTGCATGGGTTTCTTGGATATATCGTGTTTTCCGAGCTGAGTACCCAGCTACACACCTTATTTCAGCGGTGTAGGGAAATTTTTGGTAAGAAATTCCTACCTCTTACCTATCGATCGCAATATTCAGGCTATTCACCCCATTATTTAAACATTCGTCAGGATTAGTTAAGCATTATGGTGTGACAGGTTTATTTTAGTCGTGGAGCTTTCACCATCTTTCTAGACGACATCCCAGTCAATATTTTCGCATGGTAAAACACGGGGTTATGTTGTAGATTGCAATGAAAACACGGGGCAGAACTCGGGGTTATGCAAGGTGTCCCCGAGTTTTTAACCACTGTTTTCGCGATTTGCACTAAGTGCGTTTGCTCATTTTCTGCCCCTTCAGCTAGTGTTGGTTAAATGGGCTTAAGAAATAACTTTAGTATGCAGTGTATGAGTTTGAATAGACCACACATGATAACCTATAAGGACCATAATGTTTGTGTGCAACCTTACTGTGGCGTAAAACAGGCAAAACTCTTACTGTGTGAAGACAGCCAGTTGGTACACTTTTGTCCAGACTGAATACGCTACAATTGTACTGAAGGTCATAGATAGAAAGTACCGCTGGTTGTTTCTGACAAATGGTTCAAATAGTTGTTAATGGAATAAAGGAAGCTTTCGCTTAACTGGCTTCCGCATCTGAAGTCCGTGGATCACTACTTCGAGTGGTTATTAACCTGTGTACAAGTAAAGAAAGAGTAAAAAGTGGTGGTTTAAGTGTGAAAATTCAATAACTTCTGGGCAGTTCCCAGTCACGTGTCAAGTGTCCAGCCGGTGCCTAAGTGATTCAGACAAATTAACCTGGAGCATATCTGTAGGAAGAGCGTTTCAAGGTTAGACAACTCTTCGAGAATAGAAGTTGTGCTTAATATCTAACCTGCTATGTGTTCTCTAAGATTTTTGCCATAGCTAAGATTTATTAAGTGGCGGGGTGAGTGTCCAGGCGTACTCAGAATTTTTTCAGTCATTGTCAAGTCTCCTCTTAGTTTTCTGCATCCCAAAGAATACAGATCCAGCGCAACCAGTCGGCCTTCATCTGTTTTACACGTTAGTCCTTGAACAGATTTTGTCGAGCGCCTCCGGGTGCTTTCTAAGCTTAGCTTAGCTTAGCTCAGATGAGTTAAGTCTTCCTGTAGAGAAACACTGCCTCCCCCACTTTTGATTTCTCGCCGTGGCTTTACATCGTTAGGGAAAGGAAGAATTTGAGGAGAAACCTGTTGAGGTGAGTCATTAATGGATATAAGAAAAAGAAGAGGCCCTAGTACTGAACCTTGGGGAATGTTACCAGCTCATTCGGTCTCTTCAGATACAGGGAAATTCACTCGAACTCTAACCGAACGGCCACGCAGATATGGGGGTAACTAGCCAATGAGTGGTGGTCGAATCCTGGTTAATTTCAATTTGGTAATGTGGCAGTCGCGATTAACACGATCAAATGCCTTAGCGAAGTCTAAGTGGATAACGTCGATACAATGCTAGCCCATTTATCCACTACAGGGAGCAGATTAGTAATGCAGGAGTGTCCTTTCGGAAATCCACGTTTTTGGGGCGCAAAAGAGTTGATCTTTGTGAGGTATTCCCTCAGCCCGTCGTAGATCAGCGATTTCACTACTTTGGAAGGTGTGGATAGAAGCCTCACTGATCTGTATTTCTTTTGATTACTTTGTTGGTCCCCTTTGAGGATTAGCGTCATGTGGCCGGGCACTCCCCCCTGACTTAGAGAACTCTTAAATAACTTACTGTAAGGTTCAGACAAGACTGAAGCTCTCTCTCGCAGTACCACCGCACGGATCTCACTGGTCCCGGAGAGGTGTCTGTTGTGAGCAGTAGAAGTGTGTGCCGTACTAGCCCGATGCCCAATTGGACTACCGAGAGTCCTACTTCGTTGGTGGGAAATTCGTAAACGCGTGTGTAGGCGGAAGAAGACGAAAAGGGTTGCAAATACTGGTCGGTCGGGAGCCCGGCTGCTTCACCATCTCTATTAGCCAGTCCGCTGGCACCTAGTGGTTGAAATACTCCCTCTTTAGCCTGCCAGAACGTGGCTCGAACTGTTTGTAAGTATATTCGGGGCCACTCCTTTTGTATCCGTCCAAGTAGCGTCTGTAACCTAGGTAGCTTGCGAGTGTGGTTCCTTATTATCTTAGGCAGCTCGAATCGCTTCCGCCTTGAAAGTGGAAAAGGCTGGCTGATTGCATGCTTGATGTTGTCGAGCATGAATCTCCAAAAGGTTTTCATGTCCTGCCGCGCATGGTTAACTTTCTGATCTGTCTGTTCTGGTGCAATTCGAAGAGCCGGCCCGTTAAGTAGTCTGAAGTTCGAACGACGCCCGTTAAGAGATTTGGTTAGATTGGTTTCGCAGACAAACTGAAGACCAATAGCAACGTAGTCACTCCTTCCCAAGGGAGGAGGGATTGCTGCGTTACCAATCAAGAATCTTTCACTCATGAAGATGCCGTCTAATCGAGATGAGGTCTGAGTCTCTCTCGATCGCGTTACCATCACCAATACCAGCAATTTCAAGCTTCGTGTTGCAGAAGTGGTATGCGACTTTTCCTTTGGTTCAGCTTTCTTACCGGTGGAATTTGTGGCCCATATGAAATGGTTGTAGTTTTCATCTTGGTTTCAAAACACCACAAATGACCTAGATAATCCAGTTTGAATAATTTGACCTTAACCAGTAGTGCAATTTCCCCAGTTTGTCAGATGACGTGAAGCTCGCTTAGTACAACCCGTCTGTACTACACAAATCTATAGAGCGCCTAACTCTTCAAAGGCTGCAGTCAGAAGGTCTGTGGCAACTTCAGCAGGAGAGTTCTATTGTTTACAAACCCGGAATGCAAGTGACCTAGCACGGATCTTCAAACGAGCCCTCGGAAAATGGCCCCTAAATTGCAGTTTTTGCGATCACAGTCAAAAAGCTGCCCGTTAAAATGAGGGGAATTCTGGTTGATGTGAATCATGATTGAATTTCCCCTGACCATCTGGTATTGTACTGATTGCAGCTCAGGAGCGGTCAAGTGACCTGTAGCAAAATTAATGCTTTTGTGGCTGTTCTCCGGACCCATCCAAGCCTGCCGATATCTTTTTTTAGTGCGTGAACAACATCAGTGCTAACACAGGAAGCTGGCAATCTTTCTTCCCTCATGTTTAGTTCTTGGGCTTCTTTCTTACCGTCTGTTGCACCTCCCAGAACTGGATGGAAAATATTCTCTACTTTCTTTTCTCAGGGGTGGCGAGACGACCGTTCCCTTTGGAAGGGGTTCCGTAACCTGTGGATTTAGGTACTTCAGAAGCCATGGGCCTGAGCAAGCATGTGAATCTTCTTTCGACTCCTGTCCTCATACGTGTTTGAATGAGAAGAGCGGAATAATGTGGCAGGGGTCCAGGGGTCGCCGTTGAAGAGTAAACGTACACGAGGTAAGCGCGGTTACTGGAAAGAAACCAGAGGAAAAATAGTATAAGTCAAGGCAAACACGGAGTAGCGAGTTAGTGTGTCGGTAGTGACACGAACAATGTCCTATGATACTGCATTGCCTAACGTACATACCACTGGGAAAAAGAAGTGCGACCTGGGCCTGGTATTGGGTTTCCGATAAACGATTCTGATCGGCTTCCCCCGTGATGACTATCATTTTACCGGTAAGGTTAGTCTGGTCACGTAACTCACCTGAAGGATGATCCCATTTACCACAGTTATACTCCCTCCCGTTCTGTGACAGCTTTCCAGGCGATACATTCAGGGATTTTGGGCCAGTATTCATCTCAGACTGCCATCGACTGGAAAAATTTTATAAACGTAAGAGCACTCAGCAGCTGTTTCGCCCCAGTACGAGACTCGCCATCATTGAAACAGCTATCCACTGCTCCCGGGTCTCAAGCGTTTCTCAGACTCACTCCAGTTTATGATCAATTCTAACCTGAAACCAGTACAAAGGCGCCATGGACCTCAAAACTGCGTTTTTTAGCGCTCACTGGTGACCGCTTCAAGAGGTGATTCCCGAAGCCCCCATGGATGCCCGAGTCTGTCGGAATACGAATTTTCCTCTGTTCTGACAGTCGCGCATGTCATGGATTCTGTACTTCCTCAAAGATACTAGGGTCTTTCCCTAATGCTGGAGGTGCTACTTTATGAAATGCTTGCAGATGCAGCCCCACATACTTTATGAAAACTGTCGGGAAGAGCTCTGGTGTGGGGGAAACTAACGGCTAACTCAGGGAATGGGGCGTGGCGTTTTCTTTCGATGCCACTGCTGTATACTTAGGACCAGTATTTCAAGTGTCAAGGAAGTCAGAGTCAACAACTTTTTCAACTAACGCTGGAGATAGCCAGACTTGCATTCGTGTTCGCATCCTTCTGTTCTTGCCATGCGGGTCTTCATCTACATTACTTTGCACTTCAACGGGCTGCAGCTCAAGCTATTCCTCGATGACCATAGTGCAGGCTGCTGAAGACGGCTTCAGGATACTTTGGAGTCAACTTCCTTATTCACCACTTTCCATATCCTGGTTTCACGACCAGGCGGGAAAATGGGTGGGAAATTTTCACGAAGAGGCCAATAGGAAGGAGCAGAAACGGAAGTAAACCTTAGGTTGCCCCCTGGGAAAACCCGCAAACTCATGTGCACCACGTTAATCACGGTCTATTCATTACTGCGCAAAGCTGTTTACTTTATGGATGAGCTTTCGCTGAAGAAAACAGCGGTTCACTCATGTCTGGTAGCGCGATTTTCCGAAAGATCGTTTCAGGCGTGAATCTGTGCAGTGCTTTTGATAGGACGCGAAAGATCACGGGAACCGCCTTGCTGTTGTCCTAGTCAGCTCCCCAGTCGTCTTAGGTAGCCAACGGGTTAAGTACGCATAAACGTTCACTCCGAAATCCATGTTGAGCCATGCGAACGGTGTTACCTTTGTCAGGTAACTCCCATGCCTAGCTTCAGCTGTAGGACCTGTATTTTACAATGTATCACGCAAATGTGATATAGCTTTTCGTTCCCGTAAACAGGTTTTGCGTCATTTCATTTCAAGGTGGCCCCAGCAAGTCTAGCTGTCTCTTAACCATACTGTGTTTCTGTTGGGGCTAACTAGCGGGTTTCCTTTGTGACAGAAGTGATACGATCTTACTAAGTTACTCTTTAACCTAATCGGGTCAGGTTAATAGCTAAAACTGTCGCAGAAAACTGTTGTACACCATTGTTCAACGATCCCTTCGTGGGTCGGCGAATCCAACCCAACTCAGAGAACGCCACTTAAACGAGGCGTGTCACCAACCTGAATACTCCAGCTGTCTCACACTTTAATTACGATAGCCGGTGCTGAATTTCAGTCAGGTTGTTGTGGTAGTCCCTAAGTTCTGCTCCCTTCACTTGGGCGTGACTTACGAACCTGACGTGACCTCTCGTTTCCCTCGTGTTGCAGGAAATTTTGTCCGTTTCTGTTGCTTCTGGTTGCCATCTACCTCCCGGAAAACGCCGAATTTCTTGAGGGTGTAAATATCTCCCTCCAAGTTCTGCGAATCTCAGACCACCGGCAACATAAAGAAGCCCTAAACCTGTCTTTGAAATGTTG